ATCTGGTATACAGGATTGCAGCTGATTGTGAATATTTGATTAAAATGTATATTCCAAGACAGTCAAACATTAGGTTTGACTTTGAAAAGCTTTCAACCCCTTGGCAGTGCAGGGAGAGGCAGCAGACGTGCCCCCAGGCAGGACTTGAAGGAATCAGATCATGGCAACCCTTCCACCAGAAAGGAAAAGCAGGGCCTGTGGGGTGGGCACTGTGGGCTCTGGGACCCTCCAAGTCCCACAAATCTCTTTCACCTCCCTCTGCCTGGTCCCTCTGCCCCTCCTTCTTCCCAGGAGCCTGAACCACCAGCAAGGAGCTGGCTATGAGCTGGTGAACCTTGCAAGATAAAAGTTTTTGCTTACAAAAAGCCCGTGCCCAGGGTACCTGTCATCCCTGGGGAGCTTGGGGCAGGAGTTCACCACCAGAATATCACTGGAGCTGCACAGACAGTGCATGATGAGCAGGCATCAAATATGGGGAGGAACATCTCACATAAAGAAAACCATAGGTGACACAGAGCTGGGAATCAGGCTGCCTCCTAAGAGGGAAACGAGAATTTCTGCAATGTGCTGGTGATCAGATCTCTGAACTTCTGCCCACCCACATGGATGCCTTGACCTGGGACAAGGACACATGGGCAGTGCTGCCACATCCCCAGCCATACAGAGGCAAACTGGTGCCAGTGGAGCAACAATCTGACTAATTCTCAGCCTGGGTAATGCAGCCTTGATAACACAGGGCTGATACCAGTACAGTCAGTAGAGTAGAGACCTGGGTGTCTCAGTTTGGACACAAATTTAGGAGAAAACACTCTGAAATGAGTGCTTCCTCTAAAGAGAAGGGCTCCAGTAATCCCTTTTTCCAATGAGAAATTAATACCAATGAATGAAAGTAAAAAAAAACAAAACAAAACAACAAAACTGGTTATTAACCAAAAAAAACCAAAAAAACAAAAAAAAAAACCCGCAAACTGAAAAACAAAGGGGTGCCCACAAGGCACAGAAAAGGAATTACTAAATGCCAGATATCAAAATTTCAAGACCTTAACCCCCACCCTTCCCCATCTCAGGACACAGAGTTGGTGGCTGCCCCCCTTTGTCTCAGGGAAGGGGACCAGGAGCTCCAGCTGCTCGGGCAGAGTAGATGGGAACCTTTCTGGCATGGGTCTCCTCCTCACAGCAGGAAAAGCTGGTGGGTTCTTGTGTCCATGCTTGTGTTGGTTCAGCTTCTCCAAGGTCTCGGGTTCAGGGTGGCCCCCTGCCAGCTCCTCAGATGGACCCAAAAAAAATAAATAATCAAAGACGAAACAGTTCAAGGAAAAAAACATAAAAAGCTGCCAAGAGGATTCCTGGTACAGCCTCCAGGCTAGGGGAAGGAGGATAAATACCTTCCTGCTTCAAGCTAGCTAAAAAACTAATCCAACAAAAGGAACAATGTAGTGTCCTGGTCCACACCACAGCCCAAACCCACTGGAAAGAGAGGGTTTGAACCAAACTGTGCAGGAGCCCAAGGCTCCCTGCCCCACCACCAGGTCCATCATAAAGCTACAGCAGCCATTTCTGGGCATAAAGCAGATGATTAGGGAATAAAGTATCATCATCAAATCACCCCAAGACGTTGGGGAAGTCCCATGTCAGGAAGCCATGAATGACATACTGATGGAGGTGGCTGATGTGGCGACTTCAATCACTGAGCAGCAGCCCAGGGGCTGGATCTGGCAGTTTATCTGCTTTCCCAAAAAGGCCAGTCTGTCCTTGGGCAGATGACAGATGGCAGGGCAGAGGGGAAAGACACAAGCCTGGGGTTAGATGGGTCCCACACAGTGTTTGTAAATATGGCTGCAGCAGTTTGGGTCCTTAATCCTCGAGACCTCAGCACATCAAGGACCCACTGGTTGTTCTGGGCCAAAAAGAGCAGTGAGAGAGATGCTACTAGAGCTGGTGAGCCCTTTCCCAGCTCTACTCCCCAGCCACCAGCCAGGGCTGTGTGAATTGCAGCAGGTCCATCTAAGCTGGTCCCTGTAAAATAAAATATTACTGATTCAAGAGCAGGGAGCTCTCAGGACACAGAGCACAGGAAATTGGCACACACATGGCAAACACAAGAGCTGTGGATCTCTGGACACCTTTGCCCACTGCAATGCCTCCCATCCCCCTGTGCCCTTCCCTTCCCGCAGGCACTGGTTCTTCTCAAACACCCCAGGTAATGCTAGGGAAACATTTAGGGACAATGGCACAAAGCTGGCACACAGCTCCATTTCTGGTCAAATTATTTTCAGACTGGATGAGCAGCTGATTGGTCTTACCCTTGCAGAAGAAGGGGCATGAGTGAGAATCATCTGCTGATTTGTTTCCAAAATGAAGAGAAATTTACCACCTTTGAGGTCTTCAGTAATGCAAATGCTGTGGAGAGCCCTTTCCCACTTGTTACTCATGTCCAAGAATTCCTGCCCCTTCTCAGGTCTTGCAGGACACACCACACCTCTCCTCCAAGTGAGAGATGTTTTCATGGCTGGATGCCTCTGAAAAGACAAGGGCAGACACTCCCCTAGCATTTATTCCTCACCTGGGTGTGCATCTGCATGTGAACTTGTAGGCAGGTGGGTATATGTATGTGAGCGTGTGTTTATTAGTACTAAAAATGCATTTGTCAAAATCTCTAGAGTTTAAAAACAATCATTACGTAATTATATTGAACAATTAACTAACTGATTCATCAGCTGGAGGCTCACCAACAACACTTGAAACCTATCCCAGCCACCTAACAAGGCAGAAGGTGGCACAAACAAAAGCAACTCCCACAATGTCCTGGAGATTTATGGCCCTGTGCTCAGTCCAGGTAAGAGAAGACACTTTCCATTCCTGGCTGCTGGCATCTTGGAGCTGAAGGCTCCCAGGTGTTACCTGTTCTGAGCTGCTGGTTTAAAGTGTTTTGATACAGAAATATTCTTTATAAGTAACCCTTTGGGTCAGTACCATGGCTCAGAATTTCTCTAAGATGCCCATACTGCCCGATTTAGACCTTTCCTCTGCTCACCAGGGTCTGCAAGCACCATGAATATGCAGAACACCTAAAACTCCATGAAACAACCTGCTCCAAGCCAGCAGAAAAGTTCTGTCTGTCACTACCAGCACCACGGTCTATAATGCTGTGGTTAAGAGTTGTCTGGGAGAGGACAAAGAATGAAGTTGAAATATGTAATTCCCTGCCCTCCAAGCAGGTAACCATGCAACACCAATATCTTTTTTAAAGAAATCTCTAGGTTCCTCCAAAACACCAAGCAGACAAGAAAGACCACCACTGTTCTTTCATACACTACTGGGTTGCACCACGTCCTGAAGAGAGCACCAGAGCTGCTCTAGTCTTGGCCCATGGTGTTAAATTTGGCCAGCAAAGCTCAGCAGTGGGCATGTGGGCTGCATTGGGAGCCTGTGAGACAGAGCTCACCTCCGAGGTGAAGAAGACACTGCTGCAGAGTAACACCAGCAACCCCCTGTGTGTACAGTGTCCTCAGTACCATCTGTGTTTGGAAGGTTGGTGCACCCTTACGAGGAAGATGCTGCTGACTGAGTAACCAACAACACAGCTGATGCCACCAACTCTTCTCCGTAATAAATGTGCCAGGAGAACAGCTCCTTTTGAAGGCCTTTATTGAGGACAGGTTTTTGGGGGGCAGGAAAAGCCCAAGGGGTCACACACACTGCTGTTGCTCCCGAGGGACAACGCTGGGGAAGAGGAAATGTGCAGCTGTATCTCCTGGCAGAGCTGGGGCTTCAGTCCTCACGGGAGTCCTCAAGAAAACCGAGTCTAGCTTTTGGTCTAGGGGTCTCCTATTGACTGGGTGATGTTAGGTCATGGTGATAAGGAGGAAAAAAAACCCTGGTTGGTGGTTTCATCTTCTCCACTGTTTTCCCTACCTGGGAGTACCATTCTTAGTCTCGGAGGTTATAGTGGCTCGTTATTTTTAGGGGTTTTAATTACCAAATTGTGTCCCATGAGCACTTGCTGTTCCCCTGTTTGCCGGCACCATTTTGGGAGGGGGCAATGGAGATGGGCATGGGTGTGAGAGAGTGCTGGGACAGGGTAACAGCCAGCCAGGAATATCAACAATTTACAGAGACCTACAGCATTAACAACAAATGTTCAAACATCAACAATCATGGTCAACTACTTGGGACAGGATAAGGGACAGACAACCAGCAGTATTAACAATTTACAAAGACATACAACATTAACAACAAATAGTCGACTAGGTAGACACACATTAACACAAGACAACAACTGTAATCAATTGGGTGGACACCTTGTAGATAAAAAAAAACAAACTGTGCTTGGGAATTCATTCCCCACATTCTCAGCCCTGGGAGCACCTGCAAAGGTGCATCCTTCAGCATCAACAAGGAGCTCAGCACAAACCCAGCGGGACCTGACGGGCAGCCAGGCAGTGTGGCAGCGGGTACAAAGCCTTGGGCAGGGGCACTGTGAGCAGGAAGGCAACGGGGAGGCGACTGCAGAGAGCAGTCGGTGTCACGGGGATGCAGCGGCGGCACAGCCGAGCCCGGCACAGCCGAGCCCGGCACAGCCGAGCCCGGCACAGCCGGCAGCGCTTCCACCGCTCCCCGTCCCTGCCTCCCGCCCGCCAGCGGGGCCGGGCCGGGCCGGGCCGCCCGAGCTCCAATGGGCGCCGGGACCGCCCCCCGCCCGCCCCGCCCGCAGCGCTATAAGTGCCGGAGAGCAGCCCCCGCTCCCGGCCAGCCCAGCCCAGCCGAGCCGTGCAGAGCTCAGCCCAGCCCGGCCGAGAGCGGAGCCGCTGCCCGCCGGAGTCCCGGAGCGGTGCGTAGCGAGCAGGCACAGCCCGGCTCCCGGCGGGCCCTGCCGGGGCTCCCGGAGCTTTCCCGGAGCGGGCGGAGCGGTGCCTTCCCCCGGGCGGAGGTGGGAGCTCTCCGGGATCTGCTGTCGGAGCCGGCCCGGCGGGAGCGGGACGCGGTGCCGTCCCCGGGAGCCGTGCCCGAGCCGCGTTCACCTCGCAGGGAGCTGGAGCCATGGCCGAGCATATGCTGATGCCGATGAGCCACGGAGGCGCCGGGCTGCAGAGCTACAGGATGGGGGTGAGCGGGCTGCAGGGACCCCCGCAGCACGGGCAGCATGTGCTGAGGACGCTGCCTGCCGCCGCTCAGATGATGCCCTACGGAGGGGCTGGCATGGACGGTGCGATGAGGCAGAGACCCAGCCTCGGCGGACAGATGGGCCACCACCAGATGCAGAACGCGATGATGTTCAATGGCCCGGGTCAGCAGCAGCAGTACATGGGGCCGGTGGGCACCCAGCAGCTCATGGCCAGCATGCACCTACAAAAACTCAACACCCAGTACCAGGGCCACCCGCTGGGCATGAGCAACGGGCCCATGGGAGCTGGTGCCCAGCAGTACAGAGTGGGGCCGGGCCAGCACCCGGGCATGCAGCACATGCCCTCATCTGCGCTGACACTGAATGTTATGGACACTGATCTTATAGATGAGGAGGTCTTGACATCCCTTGTCCTGGAACTGGGGTTGGACCGGATTCAGGAGCTGCCAGAGTTATTCTTGGGACAGAACGAGTTCGACTTCATTTCAGACTTTGTTAGTAAACAACAACCCAGTGCCATCAGCTGCTGAGGGGCTTTGAGCTCCTCCTTGTGTCTTGGGTGGTTTTGAGTTTGTTTCTAACTTTTCCCCACCTACCGTCCTCCTCCCTTCCCCTGCCTTGCCCTGTCCTGGATTCCTGCCCTCCCCAAAAGGACAATCATCGGACACTGGCTTGCAATGGATTGCTTTTCTCTTCCGTGTGTTTTTTTTCTGTGTGGCAGTTTCTGCAGAGGGGGTTGGTGCACCCCAAACAGAGAGCAGATCAAGAGCTCCTGCTGTAGAACTGCCTGTAAATGACATTAACAGGATTTCTGGCTTAAGTAGAAGTAATGGACTACGACTTTCCTCAACTAGGCTTGGAGCACAAGAAAGCAATAGGCAGCTGGCAGCCCTGCTGGTAGCTGGATTTGCTCGTGGATTCTGTGGTGCCAGTGGAGTTGAAGGATCCTGAGAGAGAATTGTCTCCCTGGTGCATGGTCTGAACCAGTTTCCCCTCGCAACCATGGGTGGGGTTAGTTATTTGTTGGGATGTTTTACTGTGACAGTAAATAGGTCTTCAGTCATGTCTGTTCAGCTCGGGAAGGGGCACTTCCCCATAGCAGGCTTTTTTCTAACTCGCAAAAATAAAGTATGCCTTGGGGAAGGGTGTGCGTTTGTGCCTAAATGTTCATCTCCGTGGAAGTTCAGATCTCGGACCTGTACTGCTCATCAGCTGTAAAATTTACCTAGTGTTTGAGGTTGATTCAGGCATGAGGCTTAAAGCTGCAGTCTGGCTCCACTTTTTTCCACCTCTGAAACCAAATAAAGACCATGTAACTGTATATTTCAGTTCTAATCTTATTTATTTTCCTGTGATTATTTATTTGCAAGGGCTCTTTTTGTTATTTGGCTTTGGGACTGCTGGGAAAGATGCCTGGAGAGTACTGCAGCTTTAAGATGCTGGCTTTGGGAAAAGCAAACCTGGGATAGTTTTCAAGCTGCTCTGCAGAGTAGTCACTTCAGCTAGAGATCGTTATGCTGAACGCGCAGGACTCTAAACCCAACACCTTTCTGAACGTGATAAAGATGACTCGATTTCCAATTCCCTTGCTCAGGGAAGGTGAGCTGTAAAAGCCGGCGGGGTTTGGTTTCCTCCGCCGGCTCCTGTGCCAGGCGCTGGGGAAGCTCCGGTGACTCCTGGCTGCTGCTGCCCCCTGGTGCTGCCGGCCCCTGGCGAGTGTGTGTACCGATGGATTTGCGAATAAAAACTGAAATATCTCCCGTGTGCATTTGTTCAGTGCCCGTGTCCGGACTGGTGCAGTGTGGACCACTAGGAAAAGTGGGGTTTTTTTGCTCCTGTTGGTGGGCTATAGGTCTGGTCACTTGTGTGCCCCACCTGATAGTCGAGTTGGAAGGACTTGGTTTCTAGTTTAATGTTTGGAACTAAGTCCTTGAAGTGTGACTGGGAGGATGAGATGCTCGTTCTCTGTACTGAGGAGAAATTAGAATAAATTAAGGAGAAATTACTGAGAAGATGTGGATGGTCTGTTGCAGAATGGCTGCTTTTGCTGACTGACCCAGGTGATAGAACCATAGAATGGTTTGGGTTGGAAAGGACTTAAAGATAATCGAGAGTTGCTCAGACAAGTGGGTGCACTCAGTCCTTCCAGACTGAGTGCACATCTGACAGCTGGACTACAGCTCTGCTAGCAGCTCTCTGCTGCACTTGTCTAAAAATCAAAACAGCCGTTGTTCTCCTGCTCTTACAGGGCTTAGATTTCTCTTTTTAAGGAGTTTCCAGCCAGTTCCTTTGCAGCGTTTAGGGAAATACCCAAGTGTTCCTTTCCTGCCCTGTAGTAACGGGGCTGTGGATACTAGAATTAGAATGGCTGAACCACTTTGGACTGTCTGTCAATGTCCCCTGGTCTTGTTCTTTGCATAACTCAAGACCAGTTGTTCAAGTCCTGTCCTTTTGGTAGTTACACCTGTACAGTCCAGAGAGCTGGTCTAAAAATAATTGGAGGGGCTTTTGTTGAAGGTGGGAGAGCCTGGCTAGGCTGTCAGCTCTGTTGCAATGGGCTGTTGGAGACCTGGAAAAACTCTGTTGTTCCTGTGCAGCTGCAGGTTGTAGGTAAGCAGTGAAGAGTTGGCAATCTCAGAACAAAAGTAATTCAACCACAAAGTAAGCAAGTTCTAGGCTGTGAGTTCTTGTTGGGGGATGTAGGCTCTGGTACACACCACTGTGCCCTACAGTGTCCCAGTGACGATGGGGGAGCTGTGTCCAGCCCACAGATGAGGACTGTCAACTCAGCAATTGCTGTGAGCTTTCCCAGGAACAGATTTCTGTGTGATAAGAGCTTGGCACTTGATGGCCAGAGGTGCAACCTCTCAGAGGGCTGTGCAGTGCACTGGGAAAGATTTGTTGATTTAAGTTAGAGTATGGGAATTGATAACACCAGAGATGTGGAGTGATTGGGGGTTCACAGTCAGGATTTTCTGGGGAGTCTGTCCCAACAGGCTCAGTTGAGGTTATTTCAATGCTTCTTGAATATGTCATCCCTTCATTTCCCCAAAAGACCCTGTTAGGTGTGGTCAGTCTGTGATTTTTTAGAATACCCAGGTCAAAACCACTTATTGCTGCTAGAGGCCTATTGCTTCTGTCTGGGTTGGACTGGACCAGTGCTGTGATCACCTCCTTTGTGATTCTTTCTTAGCTCAGGTGCGGTTTGTGCCCTGCACAGGCTCTGTATTCCTTGTGTCAGGCACACAGGACCTGCACAGCAGCACAAGCTGCAGCTTGGACAGCTCAGGTCTTGCTGTGCTCTCAGCTGTGTGATGCACCCTGCCTGCCTGGGATTGGCCCCACACTGTGAACAGAGGTGCCAGGTGGCACAGTGGGACAACCCAGCTACCTGGGTCTGCAGGCAAGTCCCTCAAAGGTCCCAAAAAATGTAACAGGGCTGAGTTCTGCTTTTCCCATCCAGCTGACACTGATCTCTCCATCCCACACCAGGCAGGAGGGCAGCAGTGTGGTCCCCAAAGCTCTGGCAGGGAGTGACAGGCTCTGCAGAGCACTGCACGCTGCTGCTGAATGACAGTGCCCTCAGTTTGGGAGCTTTGAGGGCATTTAAGTGAATTCCTCATGTGGAGAGTTTGTGTTTACAGACAAGCATCTCTCCTCTGAGGCACCAGGAGATTATTTTCTGTATTGTGGAAGAAGGGAGGTTCTCAAACCCCACCCTGTCCCCTCACCTAGGCTGGATCCTCTGTAAAGCACCAAAAAGCTATTTGTGTGGTGTCCAGGGCTTGAGGCAGCCTCTGGGAGTAGTGAATGTGAAAGCACAGAACGACAAGGCTTTTCTCCACATCCCTGCCTCTGACCACGTGCTCTTGGGGTGGTGAAGTTTGTTGATAGCACAGGGTGATGTAGAGTTGCAAAGGTGAAAGTCTGGTGCAGAGGTGGTGAAGGATCTGCTAAGAGTGAGTGCCCAGGCAACAGCATGAGCAATGCCTGGTAAATACAAAATGATGGTTAGAGGGTTAATCCTCCTTGACTTCACACAATGCTGAGCTCTAAACTAGCTACAGCCACTCAGCAAAGATCTTAGTGTTAAAATGAAGGTTTCTGTGAAAAATCTGAGCTTGCTGTTCAGGAGGAGCCAGACAAGCAAAAGGAAAATCTTTAGAAGATGAATGAAAAGTAAAATCAAACAGTGAATGCCTTACAGAACCAACAAACAATTTATCTGCATCCTGTGCACTGCCTATGATGGTGAATTGTCAAAATTCTGGTCTGTTTAGGGGAAAATTATAACGTAAAAGTAGAGAAACGGTAGAAAAAGAAGAAACAACTGAGGCAGAGTGATGTTTCTCAGAAGAAGCCACAGAATAGCTTGGGACTCCTCAGTCAGGACGAAACTGGGCAACAGAAGTTTATCATGTAAGTGAAAAGAGAAGGTGACAGGGAATTCTTTTCCCCAAGTGTGATGGCAGAGATCTGCTGATGTCTGCAAATTTAGCAGAGGCCAAGGTCAAACCCGATTGAACAGAGGAGTTTCTGCAGGCAATGTGTAGCCCATTGAAACTCTTTCTGACAATATGGGAGGTACATGGGCACTCAGTACATGGGCACTACTACCTGAACATTGCTGTAGGGCCAAAACCATGGATCTGTGGCTCAAAAGATCTCCTGAATCAAAGGTTCTCTTCTCAGAATCAGGGGTTTTTTTGTTTGTTTTGAGGGTTCTTTTCCTGACCCTCACCGTCAATGGAGGTGCTATGTGTGAGGAAATTCCCCATGCTCAGATGCACCTCATACACTGTGCTCACATACACTGCATTCAAAAGGCAGCCTGCTCCTTTCCTTTCCTCCTCCTGGGTTTGCCCTGCAATGCCAGTAGCAGGGCAAAGAACCAGGCAACAGGTTTGTCCAGGCAAAGCAGTGTGAGAAATAGGTAACAATTCACCTCTTTGTTATTAACAATGCACCAAATGGAATCTGGAGTCACAACAGGGCAGATTTGGCCCTTTGCAAAACACATCTCCCCAGGTCAGAACCAATAGGCAGTGAAGTGCAGTGCCCATGTGTGACATAGGGAAGAGCTGACACTCATCTCTGACAAATCACAGAAAGTGCCCCATGATGCCCAAGACTGGGGACAAAGTGGGATGTCCTCCTGTTGCACCTTCTCCACCATCTGCACAGAGAAGAACTGCTGGAGGGGCAGGGGAAGCTCACCCTGTCACCACTCATCTACATGTCCCCATCCACTATCCAGAGGAGCCAGCTCAGGCATCAGTGTATGGGCACACAGACAAGGCTCTGCTCATGCTTGCTGACTTGCTGTTCCATCTCTCAGGTGTCTGGATCATGGGGAAGGACATCACAGTCAGAAAGATCAATGCAAGGGGCTCTATATCACTCCCCTGGGCCAGGCAAGGCAGGCTGGGTGTCCCTGAGGATCTCACTGTGGAGTATTCCCAGTTTGCTGAACTCAAGTCCCTAGTGCAGCAGGAATTCCCAGGAGGCTCCACATGCCTCTACATGAATAGGGATTAGGGAAAGCAGCTCTTTGCCAAATCCAAGTGATATTCCAGAGACAAAGGACTAAGCCCGTAGTAAAAGCTTGGCAAGTGACTGCTTTCGCAAGCATCTGATCCCAGCCCAATTCCCAGATCAGCCTTTGCCCTGAAGAAGAGGGAAAACAGGGATCTGCACCTCGAGTCTTTGATAACATGGTGTCATTTAGAAAGCCAGTGGCACACTGGGGTCCATCTCAGCAGTATCTGCATGCTGAGGGGCTCTTCTGGGGCATGGTGTTGGTTTAGCATGTTACAACACTCCCGATTTTCAGATGCTGGTTACAGTCTGCCGTTAGGTTGCTTCATAATTGCTACACCAAGGTATGGACCAAGTCCTGCTTTTCCTGTTTCAACTGTTAATACAAAATTCAGTTGATTGCAATGCATTATAGTGAGTTGAGGAAAGTTTTTGACAAGTCAGCCAAGTCCTGTGTCAGTTGTATGTATGCAGCTCAGAGGCAGTGGGACCTTTCCATGTGCAGGGGCTGTGCTGCATCCTGCAGCCTCTAGACAGATTATTATTTCCTTTCCAGATTTGCCAAAAATATCCCTGAGTTCACATTTCCAAGGAATTCTGCAAGTTCAGCCTGCTACAAACATTCATGACCTGCTGACAACCACTGAAATACCAGGGGGGTGAAGAGACCTCAGTGCAGTTTTCTGATCTCCCACGCTGTTGGCTCTGACCCATGGTCCATCCTCATTGCTTTAGCTGCAAAAAGAAAGCAGATTTCCCCATGGAAATCTGGCTCTCCCTGCATGGCTGAAGAGCTGTGTGT